TCTGGAATTTGTCATGCAGATTCCATTGAAATTATTGAGCTGCGCCTATGTTATTTTGGAAATCGGGTTCCGTTTTACCAGCTGCTGCTGAAGATCATTGAAACATCTTGATTTATACCTGGGAGAGGTATACGGCTGTTATTCTTCCCACAGAGGGCGTCTTCTGCCAGTTACTTTGTGTTTGGAGGTCTATGGTCGCTATCTATGCATGGAATTACAGAGGAGCCTACTGTTGGTTTTGAACACATTCTTTTTGTAAGTAATGCTTAACTATTATGAGCAATCTGTTGGAGATGTGCCCATACATTCTATTGGGTTATGACCACTAACCCTTCTTTTTACTTCAATGACTGTAATATACAGTTTTGAGCATATATAGTTGTGTGAATTGTGGATTGTCTTACCTTGGTGGGTGTTATTTGTAGCCAGTGTTCCCTCTAAGCTGAGTTTGTGTGAACTAGCTCACCATTTTTTAGCCTCCAGCTCACATATTTTTGTCTTTGCTCAGGAAGGACGGCTCCAGAGCAAACTAATTTATGCAGTAGCCAGTGTTCCCTCTAAACTGAGTTAGTGTGAGCTAGCTCACAGTTCTTTAGCCTCCGGCTCACAGTTTTTCGTCTTAGCTCAAGAAGGATGGCTCCAGAGCAAACGAATGTATGCAGCAGCCAAATCACTCACTTACAACTTTAATGCTGGTAGCTCACAAAGTTGAATTTCTGCTCACAAGACTCTGCAGCTTGGAGGGAGCATTGTTTGTGGCTATGCAGAATTTAGGGGCAGGTGGCGGTGGGGTGGGGGCTGAGCTTGGGGGTGCTTCCCATCTATTCAACATCTGGGCAGTTCATCTTCAGGTGCATACCGGTAACACTGACCTGTGTGGCCAGCACTGGTTAATTTTTAAAGAAAAATTCTGAGAAAATGTATGACATCATTGCCTATTCAACAAGTACCCTGTATGCCTGTGATTGCCATGTCATTGGTACCACAAAAACAATAAAACATTGGCCCCGACCTGGATAGCCCAGGCAAGCCCGATCTCATCAGATCTCAGAAGCTGAGCAGGGCCGACCCTGGCAAGCGCTTGGAAGGCAGACCTCCAAAGGAATACTAGGGCCAGGATGAAGAGGCAGGGATATCAAGTCGCCTTTCTGAAAACATCCAAGCCCCGGTAGGGGTCGCCAGAAGTCACCATGACTTCCAGGCAGGCAAGCACACACACACAAATACTTTTTTAAAAGATCATGAGATTGGTAAGCAGTAAATTCACATTATGGTCTAATACGACAAGGATAACTCAGGGGTGCACAAAGGTGTGTATCAGTATCATTAAATGGGCCACAAACTGCAATAACAAAACAAAGTATTCAGAAGTTGATCATGCAGAGGTGGGGTGAGTCGACGGCTTTCCTAGCCTGGGGTGCCACTTGGTTTAGGGTTGGTCCTGACCAGTGTTCCCTCTAAGCTGAGTTAGTGTGAGCTAGCTCACAGTTTTTTAGCCTCCGGTTCAGACATTTCTGCCTTAGCTCAGGAAGGAGGGCTCCAGAGCAAACTAATTTATGCAGCAGCCAAATCGCTCGCTCACAACTTTAATGCCAGGAGCTCACAAAGTAGAATTTTTGCTCACAAGACTCCACAGCTTAGAGGGAGCGCTGGTCCTGACTAAGAAACCTGAAATATACTGGGTTCAGACGCGTAGAAGTGATCAGCTCCTAGTTTATTAGTGATTCAGCAAGAGAAAGAAGAAGACTGGAATCCCTGGCCAAAGCCAAGTATTTATGCCTGAAAAGGGTTACACCCAAAAACACCCCACTCGCAACGATAGGCTATTTACACTCTGTTTCCCCAGTTGGTTTACTCTAGGGTCCTCGTCTCCCTACTGGTCCATTCTAGGATCCTAGCAATCTATTGTTATGCATCCCAAGCTCAGTCCTTTTGCAAGGGCACTTCAGGCTCAATACATAATAAAACCCCTCCCCCCAAATGAAGAGTTTGCAAAATAGGGTATTGCGACAGCAGGAGAGTGCTTTGTGAATGGCCCGCCAGGTGTGTGTTGGCCTTCTAAAAGCAGTGGTTTCCAAATTATTTTCCTGCAGGGAATGCTCCCTTGCTAATCAGCCTGTTGAGAAACCCTAGTCTGCAAGCCTTTGTGCATTGCAAATGATAGTGCGGCACATCTTAAGGCGTGTACTAAGTTTAGGAGTGCTAACTCATCAGGACAGCACTGTGGCAGAAGAGGCCGCAAGATAACTTGATGTCATAAGACTGTGTAAGAGGAGAAGAAGGAGGAGGAGAAGGAGGAGGAGGAGGTTGGATTTATACCCCGCTCTTCACAACCCAAAGGAGTCTCAGAGCGGCTTACAAACTCCTTTCCCTTCCCCTCCCCACAACAGACACCCTGTGAGGTAGGTGGGGCTGAGAGAGCTCTGACAGAAACTGCTCTTTTTCAAGAACAGCTCTTATCAGAACTATGGCTTGCCCAAGGTCATCCAGCCAGGTGCAAGTGGAGGAGTGGGGAATCAAACCCGGTTCTCCCACCAAGGAAGGCTCTGCAGAGGAAGGCAAGGGCAAACCACCTCTGCTTCTCACTTGACTTGAAAGCCTCTTGCTGGGGTTGCCGTAAGTCAGTTGCAACTTGGCCGCACTTGCGTACATCTGTACCTGGCAGGAAAAGGCACAGAAGTATCTTTCAGGTAAGGCGATTAACCATTACCAATTCATTGGCTGAAGCATCTGAGATAAGGTCCTTTGGAACAGGATTAGAAAACCACTCCTCTAAAGAATGGATCACAGTAAAAGGCATTTGCTGTTGCTCATCTCTTCTCTTGCTGAGTCTGGACTTCTGTAACCTCCTTTGATTGTCTTCCTCTGCCTTTTGAATTAATGCTGCTGTGCAATCATATATACACTTAACATGCCTAAGATTGACATATTATACTGTAAGCTCCGCGGGGCGGAGACCTTGCTTTTCTTATTGCACTCTACAAAACACCATGTATGTGCTATATGAATAGCAAACAGCAATTTTTAATGATCAAAGTCATGATATACAATTTTACATCCCTAGATACTAAGGGGCCAGTGTTGTGTAATGGTTCGAGTGCTGAACTAGGACTGAAAAGATGCGTGTTCAGATCCCGCTGATCATGAAACTGATTGGGTGACCTTGGGCCAGCCATCCTCACTCAGCATAAGCTACCTCACAGAGTTGCTGGACCAGGACTGGAGAGACCTGGCTTCAAATCCCCACTTCTCATAAAACCGACTGGGCAACCTCGGGCCAGTTGTTCTCCCTTATCCTAACCTACCTTGCAGGGTTGTTGGAGCAGGACTGAAGAGAGCTGACTTTAACTCCCAGCTAGTCACGAAACTGATTGGGTGACTTGGGCCAGTTGTTCTCCTTTATCCTAACCTACTTCACAGGGCTGTTGTAAGGATAAAATGAAGGAGAGAGGAATGATGGTCCCCATTGGGAGAGAAAGGTGGGTGGACAAATGAAATAAACAAAATGGAGGTGAGGAGAACCGTGAATGTCGCCCTGAGCTCCTGGGAAGAAGAGTGAGAGAGAAAATGCACTAAACAAGAAGAAGAAGAAGAGAAGAGATTGGATTTATACCCCGCCCTTCACTACCCAAAGGTGTCTCAGAGCGGCTTACAAACTCCTTCCCCTTCCCCTCCCCACAACAGACACCCTGTGGGGTGGGTGGGGCTGAGAGAGCTCTGACATAAACTGCTCTTTTTCAAGGACAGCTGTGCCAGAGCTTGCGACTGACCCAAGGTCACATCAGCAGGTGCAAGTGGAGGAGTGGGGAATCAAACCCGGTTCTCCCAGATTAGAGTCCGCACACTTAACCACTACTCCAAACAAACCATAAGGAGGTGGCATAAGGCAGGTAGGCTTGGAGAATGGGGGTGTGATGGGCCTCAGGTCACCGGGCAAAGCAGGGATTGCGCTGTCTAGTTCCCCACATGGATCCTTTCCATCGCTGCCATTGATCCAGCACCAGCAGTGCATGTGGAGCCAGTCTGGTGTAGCAGTTAAGTGCATGGACTCTGATCTGGGAGAACTGGGTTTGATTCCCCACTCCTCCACTTGCACCTGCTGGATGACCTTGGGCAAGCCATAGTTCTGTCAGAGCTGTTCTTGAAAAAGAGCAGTTTCTGTCAGAGCTCTCTCAGCCCCACCTACCTCACAGGGTGTCTGTTGTGGGGAGGGGAAGGGAAAGGAGTTTGTAAGCCGCTCTGAGACTCCTTCGGGTAGTGAAGGGCGGGGTATAAATCCAGTCTCTTCTCTTCTTCTTCTTCTGGCACACCATAAATATTGATGTTTTCCCTCTCATGAATGAACGAATAGTCCTACTTAGTGATGTGTAGGGATGCCAGCCTCCAGGTGGGATCTGGGGACCTTCTGGAATCCCAGCTCCTCTCCAGACTACAGAGATCAGTTGCCCTGGAGAAAACGGATGCTTTGGAGGGTGGACTCCAGTGTTCCCTCTAAGCTGAGTCAGCGTGAGCCGGCTCACAGTCTTTTAGCCTCCGGCTCACACACTTTTTTGTCTTCGCTCAGGGAGGATGGCTCCAGAGCAAACTCATGGATGCCGTAGCCAAATCGCTCGCTCACAGCTTTAATGCCAGGTACTCACAAAGTAGAATATCTGCTCGCCAGACCCCACGGCTTAGAGGGAATGTTGGTGGACTCTATGCCCTTGTCCCCCACTGAGGCCCCCTGTCCTCCCCAGGCTCCACCCCCAAATCTCCAGGAGTTTCCCAACCTGGATCTGGCAACCCTAGTGAGGCGCGTTGGAGCCACTCTTGGGCATTCTGTGAAAGTGACTCTGATCCCTTCATTGTGAAAAGAGAAAATTGGGGGGGGGGGGATGTTTCCCTCAGCGCCTGCACACAGGGATGGCAAGGTGGGAGGAGACTGAGAGGAGCACCCAGCCAGGAAATGGGTGGCACCCCTCCTCTCACCTGGGAAAGTAAATCCCTTGATTCCTGAGGGCAGCCGAGCTGACACGCTGCCTGCCCTTCGGAGCAAACAAAGGAAGCGAGAGCCGCGGCCAGATCTGTCCTCCCCGGCTTGGTTTTCCCAGCGTGATTCTAAAAATGGGCAACAGAATGCCATCTTTAGGATTAAGCCTTCTTTCTTATCGTTCCTGCATTCAGAGAAGGAACTAGCGAGCCCGTTTGACTCCAGGTACAGCGCCTGAGCTCCCAGGGAAAAACAGAGAGGTAAGAAAACCCACCTCCCTCATCCAAGCGGCTGAATAATTTGCATGGAAACGGAAAAGAAAGGAAACGTTTGAAGGGGGAGGATAAATATCGTTAACGTGAGAGGGCTCGTCTGTCTTTCAATGCCTCTTGTTTATTTCCGGGCTTAAATCTAGCAGTCTGCAGAAAGCAAGTCCTGTGAAAAAGACTCGCAGGCAATAATTGAGTATCGCCAAAGCTTAACATTGCACAGGGCACTCCATTCCTGCTTTTCCTCGGTGCACTTTCCCCCCTGTTTGACACAGGGCGTGTTCGTGTCGCTTACCTTTTTGCTGAAACCGGCATGGATGCAGGGCTGCTGTCGCCTGGTCTGGTCTTAACCAGTGGTAGTTTGGTGTTTTCCCCCTCTGGCGGACACAGACACAGCTCTCCATTCCTGCCATTTCTTTGCGGATGCTAGAAGGAGATCTTCCAGGCAGCTGTGTAGTTGTTGTTGTTCCCCCACCAGCCTTCTGGGCAGTGATAATTGGCAAGGGGATCATTTTTCAAAGCCAGCCTCCCATCCCCTCCAACACTTCACAGATGGGAACAGAGACAATGATTGTGATTAAATGCCCCCGATCCTCATAGGGATCACTGTCCAAGTCCCACCACAACAGTGGTGCTGTTCAATCTCGCTGCACATTGTCTTTGTTTATTCTGCAATGCCGTTTTCTTAAAAACCTGGAGGGTGTTTGTTCTTTTGGATGAATGTGACAATTTGGCCTATAGTGTATTAATCAGTATCGTTCAAAATGCATCCTCCGGATGGCTGCAGAGTTCTGGCTCCCGCCATTTCACCAGGCATTGCTCACCTGCTTCTAAAAACATATTTACAGCCAGGAGGGCTGAGTTATGCAGTCAGATCCACACAGGTAACCTTGATTCTTCCATTGTTTGGGGCCAGGTGCGGAGCTCTCCTGCTAGCGGAAAGGCATGTCTATCACAGGACTGAAAAGGAAGCAGCCGAAGACTTTTAAAGTGAAAGTGATAACAATGGATGCCGAAATGGAGTTTAGTTGCGAGGTAAGTTCGTGTGTTTCAGAATCACGTGGTAAAGTTTCCCCCCCAAAACTGTAACGGATGGTATGGTGGCTGGATTTGCACACGCACCCAGTTTCCTTGCACATAGAAAGCCATGGGCTGAACTCTCTCTTTCTTGCTAATTTTCAATATGAGGAGTTTTAGGTACAAAGGTAAAAAGGTAAAGGTTCCCTTGCTCGAAAGCCAGTCGAATCCGACTCTAGGGTTGCGGTGCTCATCTCCGTTTCAAAGCCGAAGAGCCAGCGCTGTCCGAAGACGTTTCCGTGGTCATGTGGCCGGCATGACTAAACGCCAAGGCGCACGGAACGCTGTTACCTTCCCACCGAAGCGGTTCCTATTTATCTACTTGCAATTTCTTGCTTTCGAACTGCTAGGTTGGCAGGAGCTGGGACTAGAGATGGGAGCTCACCCCATCATGCGGCACTCGGGTCTCGAACTGCTGAACTACTGACCTTCCACAGCCTGCAGCTCAGCGTCTTAACCACTTGAGCCACCGCAGCTCAAGTGGTACAAAACTGTAAGGTAAAAAGCCTTCAGCACTTAAATCCTCCCACTTCCCAACTGTGCACTGTGAGGGAATTGTTACTGTGCCACAATAAATAAATTACTGGAATAAAGGACAGTTAGATTCAAGCCCAGCAGGACCTTAGAGACCAACAAGAGTTTCAGACGTAAACTTTCAAGAGTCAAAGCTCTCTTCATCAGACACAGGTAGGAGTGGAGATCTGTGGGCCTCCGTATCCTAGTCAGAAGGTGGACGGGCTGTTTTGAAACAAAATTCATGTCCAGTGGCACCTTTAAGAACAACAAAGTTTTATACACGGTATAAGCCTTTGTGTGCATGCACACTTCCTCAGATACAGTGGAGCAGAATCTCCTCAGCCATTATTTATAGGGAGTGGGGTGAAGGTTGTTGTCAGGAAGGGCCATTTAGAGTCAACATGCAAAAGTACTGGGTGATTGTAGCTGGGACTGCACGTACGAAAGATCTGTGAATGACAGTAAATTAGTATACAGTAAATTAGTATACAGATACAAGATGGAGCTGCGGTGGCTCAAGCGTTTAAGACGCTGAACTGCAGGCTGTGGAAGATCGGTAGTTCAGCAGTTCGAGACCCGAGTTGCCGCATGATGGAGTGAGCTCCCGTCTCTAGTTCCAGCTCCTGCCAACCTAGCAGTTCGAAAGCAAGAAATTGCAAGTAGATAAATAGGTACCACTTCGGTGGGAAGGTAACAGCGTTCCGTTCGCCTTGGTGTTTAGTCATGCTGGCCACATGACCACGGAAACGTCTTTGGACAGCGCTGGCTCTTCGGCTTTGAAACGGAGATGAGCACCGCAACCCTAGAGTCAGATTCGACTGGCTTTCGAGCAAGGGAACCTTTACCCTTACCTTTACAAGAGTTAACAAACAGATGTGGGAACGAGGTTTGAGTCCAGTGGCACCAGAACAGACACAGTTCAATTCTGAGTACAAGTGAGAACGGAGAGACTTCGTATGTACACTCCTTCAGATTCATTGAAACAGATTTCCTCAAATATTACATATAGGTGGGGGGGTTAGTTGCCAAGAAGAGCTAATTAGAGTCAAGATGTCTAAGAAACTGAGCAATAAATGCAGCTAAGACTGGAATCACACATTAGGTGAGACATGTAAACAGCAGTAAGTTGGCACACGGATAATAAAAGAGTTGACAACAGATGTGGGAACTAAATTTGAATCCAGTGTTGTAAAGAATGCAAAGGGACAAATGCACATTGTAATCAGCTTGATCAGAGCAGAGGGGAAAGGCTGGGGAGCAGAAAATTAGCATCTGTCAGGAGATAAGAATCCTGTGTCCCTGTCCAGCACTTGGAGGCGAGGGGTCCGTTGCTCTGAAGTTGTGAATCAACTCGGCAATCTCGTGTTGACTGACTGAGATAAAAAGACCCAAAGTTCTTCCTTCCTGCTCCTGCTCATTCCTACTCATGTCTGACGAAAGGAGCTTTGACGCTCAAAAAACCCACAACCCCACACACAAATTGTTGGTCTCTAAGGTTGAGTGCCGCGTGACGGAGTGAGCTCCCGTCTCTGGTCCCAGCTCCTGCCAACCTAGCCGTTCGAAAGCAAGAAATTGCAAGTAGATAAACAGGTACCGCTTCGGTGGGAAGGTGACAGCGTTCTGTGCACCTCGGCGTCTAGTCATGCCGGCCACATGACCACGGAAACATCTTCGGACAGCGCTGGCTCTTCGGCTTGGAAACGGAGATGAGCACTGCATCCCTAGAGTCGGATTCAACTGGCTTGCGAGCAAGGGGAACCTTTACCTTAAAGGTGCTACTGGACTCGAATGTATCTGTTTCTTCTGCAGACCGACACAGGCTACCCTCTGACACTATCTTGAATAGAGGATTTACCCTCAGAGGAGGCAGCCTGCTGTCTCTGGCAGGACAGATTGCTCTGACCTTGCTTTCCTTTCACTCAGCCCCTGATAGAGAGCGGGTACCTACAGTTAGGTTGTTTACCATACTTTCTTATTTACTTACTTCATTTACTTTCTCCTAAGTGAGGAGCCAAAGCAGCTTCTATCGTTTTCTCTTCCATTTTATCCTCACACCGACCCTGAGAGACGGGTTCGGCTGAGAGTTTGTGACTGGCCCGAGGCCGCCCAGCGTTCTTCCATAGCAGAGTGGGGATTCCAACTTGGGTCTCCCAGATTCTAGTCTGAAACTATTACTGGGTCTTTTTCTAGAGAGAGGCTGCCTGCCGCGTCTCTAGAGGAGTCACAGGTCTGCCCTAACTTCTTTTCATTCTGCCCCAAGGGATTGGACTGGATGGGCGAGTGGACATTTTATTGATTGAACTAACTTCTAGCCCGCCTCCTGAGATAGCACTCGAGCTCTCTTGCAGCATCTCTGCATGGTGTGTGTGATTGGATCCTTCACACAACCCCTCAGAATGGAACTGCCCTTCCCAAAAAGTGGAGGCCAGTTTGGTGTAGTGATTAAGTGTGCGGACTCTGATCTGTGAGAACCGGGTTTGATTCCCCACTGCTTCACTTGCACCTGCTGGATGACCTTGGGCAAGCCATCGTTCTGTCAGAGCTGTTCTTGAAAAAGAGCAGTTTCTGTCAGAGCTCTCTCAGCCCCACCTGCCTCACAGGGTGTCTGTTGTGGGGAGGGGAAGGGACAGGAGATTGTAAGCCGCTCTGAGACTCCTTTGGGTAGTGAAGGGCGGGGTATAAATCCGATCTCTTCTTCTTCTCTTCTTCCTTGGGGCATCGGAGAGACCAGTGACTTCTGCAGAACCACAGAGGGCGAGGCTCCAGGAAGAGTGCACAATATTTTGCCTTTATATCAGGGCTTTTTTTGTAGAAAAAGCCCAGCAGGAACTCATTAGCATAATAGGCAACACCCAACAGCAGAAACTCATTAGCATATTAGGCCACACCCCCATGTTACCAGAAGTGTGGTCATCCAGCCACACCCACCTTTTGCTTCTTATTCTGCTTACCTTGTTTGTTGTCAAAACCCAGGGCTTTTTTGTAGCAGGAACTCCTTTGCATGTTAGGCCACACACCCCTAATGTAGCCAATCCTAATGAGTTCCTGCTGTTGGGTGTGGCCTATTATGCTAATGAGTTCCTGCTGGGCGTGGCCAACTCGGGAGCCAGCCGGAACTCCGTTCCTGCGCGTTCCTGCCCAAAAATAGCCCTGCTTAATATGTACTAAACATAAGTCCGTTCAGATGTGAGAACGAAGCATGCTTCCAGGCTTAATTTGGGTATCCCAGCTATTCAAGGTTGGAACACTTTGGGCAGCTCAATGATGCAGCCAAATGCCATGCTGGAGGGATATTCTGGCAGAGTTGGGGTTGCCAGCCTCCAGGTGGCACCTGGAGATCTTCCATTACAATGGATCTCCAGACGACCAAGATCAGTTCCCCCGGAGAAGCTGGTTGCTTTGGAGGGTGGACTCAATGACCTTGTACGCAGCTGAGCTCCTTTCCTTCCCCAAACCCCGCCCTGCCCAGGCTCCACTCCCAAAACCTCCAGGCATTTCCCAACCCAGAGCTGGCAACCCTGTGCTTTATCAGCTTCTAAGCTCTTTGGGTCTCTTGTCTCGGGACTGCGTTGTAAGTTCTTAAATGGGCTAGTGACTTAAGTGCCAGTTGCACTAGGCATAAAAGGGTGGGGATGCTTTGCATTCTCCTTGTGTCAATGCTCACCTTTGAAGTTGCAGGGGTCCATCCACTAAAATCTCTTAACTACTCAACTTAACTGCTTAACTAGTTGTCCTTGCCTGACCTGGATAGCCCAGGCTAGCCCGATCTCGTCAGATCCTGGAAGTTTAGCAGGGTCGGCCTTGGCTAGTATTTGGAAGGGCGACCTCCCAAGGAATACCAGGGTTATGACACAGAGGCAGGCAATGGCAGACCACCTCCGAACCGTCTCTTGCCTAAAAAAACAAGTCAAGCTCACCACTTAGTGGTGCATAATGCTAAAAGAGCAAGACCGTCTGGCGGCCAGGCAATCTTAGGATCTCCTGGCTATTCTACACACATTGCCATATGAAAATTAATTAAACATTCTTAGCTACTCATTTCTGTGCGACCCAAAATTATGCCTCCCATTTCCTGAAACTGGGTAAAATGTATCCATTCTTGCAGGGGTGCTCTATATTGGTGCCAATCTCAAGTTTATTCATGGGGGAACAGGGAGCTATAAAATGCAAACTTGCAATTCTGGGAAGAGAAATCATGTCTGTATGTGAAGCAGGCATCTTTGATCCAGAGTTCCGATGTGGTACAGGAATAATGCTGGTTCCAGGTTTTGCAAAAAAACAAGAGCCTGCCTTGAGGATCCTTACACCTTTCCCTTCTCCCTTTGGAGCAATTTCCCTTCACCCCTTCCCTTGTTCATACCATTAACCTTGCTTCGCTTATAAACAGTGGTTTCAAGTGCATTTGCAAACCATGGTTACCAGGGATGCATCAAAGCAGAGGTAAAGCTAAACAATGGTTACTGTCACAAATGGGGGAAATGAGCTTGGGCACAGGGAGAATGGAGCAGGAAGAAGCATGCTAGCGTTCCCAAGGCTGCTGCTGCTGCTTCTGCCGTGGCCCAATGAGGGAGAGCATCAAAACAGGATAGGGCGAAAGTTTTGGTCTATGCGATGCCCTTTTCAGGAAATGAACAAAAGGCTGCCGGAATTCTGTTCAAAGAACAGCAGGATTTGGGGTTCCGCTGCTTCCACACTGCAGGGATTCTCTGTGTAGCTCTCATTGCCAGTGCGGTTTTCCCTGATGTCAGAGATAACTATGTTGCAAAGTGCACCAGGCCCTGATTCAGCTCAGTAATGCAGTGCGGGGAACATCATAGGGGCACCAACCTCCAGATGGGGCCTGGAGAGCTCCAGGAATGAAAACTGATCTCCAGACGACAAAGATTGGTTCCCCTGGAGAAATCGGCTGCTTTGGACTGTGGACTCTGTGGCATTACACCCTGCCGAGGTCCTTCCCCTACCAAAATCCTGCCCTCCCCAGGCTCCATCCTCCCCAAATCTCCAGGGGTTTTCCAACCCAGAGCTGGCAACCCTAGGGGAGGATGGCCTTCAGCCTCCTCCTTCCACAACATTTTCCAGAGCCAAAATGGCTGCAGTGGGAGGGTCCGTTAGCCCCACCTTGGGGCTCTGTGTGCTGCGGTCAGGGGATTCCCCGACCCAACACGTGTCCCATGCATCGTCTGTCCTGGCCCAAAGAGGCGCGCCTTCTCCCTTATATAAATGCAAAGGTGTGATGTGGTTAAGAATTCTGCCTGGGAAGGACTGAGTCCAGGGGACTGAAGCCTTAGCCACAGCAAACTTTGGCAAGGGCACCTCTTTGGCATCTTTCACCAGGCACTGCCATACGTACTTTCAACCATAAGGTCTAGAATGAGAAGCAGCAAAAATACACAAAATCTAAGAGCAAAAAAATTATTTTGAAATATGATGGTATGGAATTTAAAAGGGGGAGGGTGCATAGAATATAACAGTATACCACTACTTCTGTATCACTGTGAACAAGAGGTAACTATCACAGTGAATTTAAAATGTCTCATTTGTATTGAGTAGTTAAATTTTACCAAATTGTGTTGAGCTGCTCATCTAGGGATATCACATTTTCCACTTGCATGTGAAATAGAACCATATATATATACATACACACACACACACACCAAAAGGCTTTGTAATATCATACTATTTTAACTAGAATGTAAACACCTCTATTAATCAATTCGATTTATTTATTAAAAAACCAAGTATTGCAAACAGTGCCACAGGCTGTGCTTGCATGTAAATATAGAATGCACATAGCCCTGGGATATGGCAGTGTTGAGAAAAATAGTTTATGTTTTTAAATCTATTTTATTTCTACTCCAACCTTCCTCCAAAAAGTTCAAGGTGGCATAAAAGTTCTCTCTTCAGTTTCATCCTCACAACGACCCTGTGTGGTAGGGTTAGTCGGGTTAGAACAGATAAAAGGAAGTACTTCTTCACCCAAAGAGTGATTAACACTTGGAATTCACTGCCACAGGAGGTGGCGGCGGCTACAAGCATGGACAGCTTCAAAAGGGAATTAGATAAGCATCTGGAGCAGAGGTCCATCAGTGGCTATTAGCCACAAGGTATAGATAGGGGCTCTGGGGCAAGTGATGCTCTGTCTTCTTGGTGCTTGGGGGGGTCAACAGTGGGAGGGCTTCTAATGTCCTGGCCCCACTGGTGGACCTCCTGATGGCACCTGGTATTTCTGGCCACTGTGTGACACAGGGTGTTGGACTGGAAGGGCCATTGGCCTGATCCAACATTGGCTTCTCTTATGTTCTTAACAGAGAATGTCTGTTCCAAGACCACCCAGTGAGCTTCATTGCAGAACGATGGTTTGGATCTCCGTGATTCTAGTCCACAGTTCACTAACCACCACAATACACTGGCTTTGTATATAAAAAGTATATTCCTTTCTAACATCTGGCTGTACATCCGCTGTCAAGTTTCACCATAAATATTTCTTATTTTTTCTGTCTTGCTGTTCCCAGATAAAATGGAAGGGGAAAGACTTATTTGACCAGGTCTGCCGTGCCTTGGGTCTGAGAGAAACGTGGTTCTTTGGCCTGCAGTACTCCATCAAAGGGATGCTCACCTGGCTGAAGATGGATAAAAAGGTTCGGAAGCCACCCGTTTCCTGATCGGTAGCATCTGCCAGGCCGAAGGAGTGAGATCTGAGTGCTGTTTTCTCCCTAAGCATGCAGAGCTGGCACTGCATGGCGACCGTGAACATAAGCTGTGAAGCAAGAGGGTGAAATCAAGACCCTTTTGGTTGCACTCTAGAAATCTTCCCTTACGTGTCTTCTGCTCCTCGCAGATTATGGTTTCCCCATTTTAAATATCACGCCCCTGCCGGCCGGTGTATGAGACGACACTCCCCCTCTGCCAGCCTTGGACGGCTGGCCCATACGGCCCTGCGAGTAGACCCCCACAGAGCCTGCATCTGTCATCCCATTCAGCTCTAGTGCCCGCCTGTCCGTTTTTAAATCCCTCCCTCCCTTCCAGAAGCTCAAGGAGATAGACAGTTTTATCCTCACAACAACACTGCAAGGTAGGTTAGGCTGAGAGAGAGGCTGGCTCAAGATCACCTGGTGAGCTTCAGAGCAGAGTGGGGATTCGAACCTGGGTCTTCTCTGTCCTTGTCATGTGCAATGTTCCCTCTAAGCTGTGAAGTCCTGTGAGCAAAAATCCCACTTTGTGAGCTCCTGGCATTAAAGTTGTGAGCAAGCAATTTGGCTACTGCATAAATTAGTTTGCTCTGGAGCCATCCTTCCTGAGCTAAGACAAAAACGTGCGAGCCGGAGGCTAAAAAACTGTGAGCTAGCTCACACTAACTCAGCTTAGAGGGAACACTGATCATGTGTTCTAACCCCTACTCCACACGAAACATTTTACGAGTCCAGCAGCACCTCAAAGACTTAACAAAGTTTGTGGCAGGGTGTGAGCTTTCACAAGTCACTGCTCACTTCTTCAGATGCAGCTAGAGTGCAGGTAAGGATCCGGTTATTTATTTATTTATTTATTATTCACACTTCTATCCCGCCCTCCCCGAAGGCTCAGGGCGGCTAACATGCATTGCTAAATAAAACAATAAAAACAGTACAAAGTATTAAAAGTACATCACAATTGATAGACAATTTTGGTGCTCCTCTGAACCACATAAGGTTATACTTTCTAAAAACAAGATGGCCGTCCCCTAAACGTCCCGTTCTCGCCCATGATGCAAAAATTATGGGGCGTTGGTGGTACATGGCCATGTCCTGATGTCCATATACAGAAATTCCAGGGCGTTGGTGGTACACTGGTGCGTTGGTGGTACACCAAGCTCGTACTGTGCCACAAATGTTGCTAGTCTCGAAGGTGCTACTGGACTCTTACTCTTTTCTGTGGCTACAGACAGACCAACAGGGCTACCCATATGGATGAAACATTTTGTTAACCCCCATCCCCCAGTGAAACTGACAAAGTCTCAGAAACATGGTGTTCAGAGAGCAGTGAAAGGAATCAACATCAACATGAAATTGACACACAAAAAAATCCCTATAGTAGAAATGGGGGATGTGGAAAGAAACCCAGGTTGGGGGGATGGACTATAAATGCACTTCAGCTGGAACCCATCTGAACCCAGATGACGCAACTGACACAGGGAAAGTTGAAACATGATCACAAGTTCTTTGTCACCTTGAACTTATTTAAACGCCTGATCCTGGTGCAATTAAAATTGTACGGCTGCCTTCCCGGTGGGCACTCCAGCTGCCAGGGGGAGAGATTTCAAAGTGCTTTAGGCCGCCTTTGTGAAAATCTGTACCAGCTTCACCTCACCGGGTGGCTTTCATCGAGCCTTTCTGTTTTCTCACTCCTTCAAACAGTCATCTTAAATCCATATGGCAAATGCGGCGCAGGACTGAGAAAGTGAGCAAACAGCCGGCCTGAAGCCCACCTGCAGAGTTGGTGTCTGAGACGACATTAGCAAGAGCAGCTACTCTGTGCACGTTCACAGCCTCACCTGCTCTCAGCAGAGGCTTGGCTCATCCTATTCCTTTTTTCACCCCAAGGTTTTAGATCAGGAAATCCCCAAAGAAGATCCGGTTTGTTTTCGCTTTCTGGCTAAATTTTACCCCGAGAAAGTCGAAGAAGAGCTTCTGCAGGAGATCACCCAGCACCTATTCTTCCTGCAGGTCAGAAGGTATTTCTTTTCCTTAAAGCTGGCTTTTGAAGTTTTAGATTAATCTTCTTGGCGATCCTCCTGTATGTTGGCTCATGTTAGTTGAACACAGGCTGTTGTGCAAACCCTCGTTCCCCAGAGAGCATGGGTCTTGGACGCTACTGCTGCTCCCCCATCATTCCCAAACTTTGTGCCATAAGAAATAAGTGAATTAAAAATTTGGATGTGTTCTGGGAGCCGAAAGCATTTGTCCACAGAGGAGTCTGGCCACTGCATCTCTGTATGATCCAGTGTTCTGGCTGACCTCTTCCATACCATTTGCTGCTGGCAGATATGCTCTTCTGCATCAGAAGTGATTGGATCATTCAGTCGCTCCCAGGGCAGAGCAGAATCAACCGCCTTCAGGGAGATGCCTGCCCAGAACGAGATGGGCTTTTGTCACAACACATTGTAGAAACAAACCTTTTGCGGGCACAACAATCAAAGTGAGAATTTTAATTCAGGAAGGAATGCTTACTGTGATCATCAGAAATTTAAAGGATCCTGTTCGATCCCAAAACTAGTGGCATTTGTGTGAATCTAAGTTGCTGCCACTCTTGGTCCCACGTGAAATCACAGAGAGGCAGACAGAGGTGCCAAAAAACATCTTATCTTTATGGTCCTGAAGGAGCCAACTTGTGTTCAAGAACTAGAGCTGCCAACCAGTAAAACCCTCTTCCAGGGCTCTTTTTGTAGAAAAAGCCCAGCAGGAACTCATTAGCATAATAGGCCACACCCAACAGCAGAAACTCATTAGCATATTAGGCCACACCCCTGACAGCACAGCTCATTGGCACATTAGGCCACACCCCCATGTTACCAGAAGTGTGGTTATCCAGCCACACCCACCTTTTGCTTGTTATTCTGTTTACCTTGTTTGTTGTCAAAACCCAGGGCGTTTTTGTAGCAGGAACTCCTTTACATGTTAGGCCACACACCCCTAATGTAGCCAATCCTAATGAGTTTCTGCTGTTGGGTGTGGCCTATTATGCTAATGAGTTCCTGCTGGGCGGAGCCAACTTGGGAGCCAGCCGGAACTCCGTTCCTGTGCGTTCCTGCCCAAAAATAGCCCTGCCCTCTTCTATTGGGTAACCAGGAAGGCCGGATTTTGCCAGACTCTGCCCAGTCTCCTCTGGATTCTGCCTTTTCTCTGTGCCTGACCAAAAGTTCATCTCTAGCTTCCTAGATTCCATCCAGGCTCCATTTCTCAGCCACCAGTTTCCCAGGAGAATGGGATTGTTCTTGAGCACATGGAGTTTCCTTGTACTGAATCAGACCCCCGAGTGATCGAAGTCAGAGTCTTGTCTGTTCAGACCGGCAGTGGCTCTCCTGCAGAGGAAGGTCTGTCACATCACCTACTCCCGTATCCTTTAAACTGCTAGTGCCTGAGTGCTAGAGCCTCTGCTTGGCATGCAGAAGGTCCCAGGCTCAATGCCCGGCATCTCCAGTTCAAAGGGATCAGGTAGTAGGCAGTGCTCCCTCTAAGCTGTTGGAGTCTTGTGAGCAAAAATTCTACTTTATGAGCTCCTGGCATTCAAGTCGTGAGCGAGCCGTTTGGCTGCTGCATAAATTAGTTTGCTCCGGAGCCATCCTTCTTGAGCTAAGACAAAAATACGTGAGCCGGAGGCTAAAAAACGGTGAGCTGGCTCACACTAACTCAGCTTAGAGGGAACACTGGTAGTAGGTGATGAGAGAGATCTCAGCCTGAGACCCTGGAGAGCGGCTGCCAATCTGAGCAGGCGATACTGACTACGATGGGCGAAGGATCTGATTTGGTATCAGGCAACTTCATGAAGTTCTTTGGCTCGTGTGCTCTGCTCTCCGTGTCTTCAACTTGTGTGATGGGTCTGATACAAAAGCCTTTTGTGTTTCCCCACTCATTTTGGTCTGATTCAGTATCAGGCAGCTTCATGTGTTGAGGTGGCCGGGGACTGAAACTGAGACCGTCTGCATGCAAAACTGCATGTAGGGATGTAGCTGAGTCAAGCCACCGATCTGTCTAGCTTGATTTCTCCGACAGGTAGCCGCTCTCCAGGGTCTCAGCCAAGAGGCAGATCTTTCTTGCTGCCCAAGTTCCTTTTAACCTGAGATCCCCAGGACCTTCTTGGTGCAAAGCAAGTGCCCTTGCCGCTGAGCTATGTCCCCTGGTGTGCTTGAGCTTAGGTATTTTGGTTCCGCTTCAGGCATCTCGGTCTCACCTCCTGCTTCTGCGTGGAGCAGTTCCAAGCAGAAGTGGAACCTGAGGTGTGAGGAATGCATTGGGGAAGCCCCACTCCACCCCACCGCTGCCTTTACAATGGTTCTGATTGCCTTTCTGCTCTGGTTTACCAATGCGTGGGAGGCTGTGAAAACCTGGCACAGGCATTGGGAGAGGCAAGGCAGCGCGGTTTGTTGGGCCTGGGCAAGCAACAGACTGTGTGCCAGGAAGGGGGCCGAAGGCAGATAAGCAAAGGTTGATAGCCAAGAGGCCTAAGGGAGTGGTGGGCAATGTTCCCTCTAAGCTGTGGAGTCTTGTGAGCAAAAATTCTACTCTGTGAGCTACTGGCATTAAAGTTGTGAGCGAGCAATTTGGCTAATGCATCAATTAGTTTGCTCTGGAGCCCTCCTTCCTGAGCTAAGATAAAAATGTGTGAGCCGGAGGCTAAAGAACTGTGAGCCTGCTCACACTAACTCAGCTTAGAGGGAACACTGGTGGTGGGACAACCTGACACAGGTCCTGTACTGTTGGCAGGAAAGCGGTGGGCCAGGAAGGTGATGGGGAAGAGCACGCAGGGTCACTGATGCAATGCTGACGGCCAGTTCGTAGGACACAAAGTCCTGCCACAACGCCGTGGCCCACTTTTTTTAAGCGACCGCAGTGTGCAGTTAGAAGCAGCTTCAGCCTCCCTCCACCGACCCCCCCCCACCCCATCTTTGCAGCCTGAAGTGAAACTGGAGAATTGCCATTTGAGGATAATGTACATGTCGCTATCGTTTCTTGTCAGTTTACCACTTGACAGATAGGCAGAATGTCCGTGGCTCCCTGGGACCATTTCAGGACGTGGAAACGGGAAGGGGGGGGGAGCCACTTCTTCCTGCATGCTGCAATTGCTATCAGAATCGTGTCTGGAAGGCACAGAACCCCCCTCACACGTCTGATGCAAAGTCCTGGTGGTGGCCATGAGGAATCTGTATCATATGAATTGGCCCCAAGACTGGAGTCAGTGTGCTGATACACGTTTCTACACAGTTGCCTCATATCAAATCAGACTGTAGGTCCATCTAATTAGCAAACCAGACCAGTCTTTGGGTGGAGAGATCTAATACTGTTTGACTTGCTAGCCTCTTAAGAGAGAGGCTAGCTAGAACTGGTTTTCCTCACAGAATCTTTTGGGGTTTTTTGTTGTTGTTTAAATCTCCTTGCAGGTTGTTCTTCCCAAACGCTTGGGAAGGAGAGTATGAAAGGCCATCTTCTTTGGCGGGGTTTCTTTTTTTAAGTGGATGCACTGCTTGTCTTCTTGAGTTCAACCTGCCTCAGCTTGTTTTGACACCGTGGTATGCAATTAGAGGGGAATTTTTCTCGTTCCAAAAGAAACACAGAACGGGGTGGGGGTGGTGGGAGGGCAAAGCAACACACTGGAGCTTGCAAGATTCCCTGAGAGTAAGAATCTGAGACCATGCCTGCAGGGAACGTGTTGTGAGCATTTGGGCGCTTGGCCGTGCTAGTGCATTTGCTCAAAAATCCGTTTTATGTCCAAGAAAGTCCTGTTGGTTTGGGGAATGGCAAGAGTTTTCCTAGGACTGCAACCTTCTGAGGATTAAAAGAGCAGATGAGCAGATACTGTGATTGTGCTGAACTACACAGTTGGAGCCATCATATGGTCCAGCTCCTGCAAGGCTGTATTGTTTTAACTTGTAGGTGGGAACATATGGGTAGGAAGGACATGCATAAATAAATATTTTTTAAAAACCAATGCGTATGAATCCAGGAGAAGGCAGGCAACAGGTCTTCTGCCTGACATAACAGACTCGCAAAGAGCTGGGGGGAAATAGACCTACCCCACAAAACATAGACACCCCCCCCCCCAAGATTATGGGCCCATTCTGATGTAACAACACATGGTAGGTATCGTTTCAGGAACAAGACTTGGAAGTCCTTCTGCTTGTGGACTCTGCTTTCCGTGTCCTCAGCTTGTGTGTTGGGTCTAATACAGAAGACTGCTGTGTGCCCAACAGTTTTTTGTCTGACTTGGTTTCTAGTCCTGAAACCAAGGTTCCAAACCATGGTTTAATCTTGCTTTATCCCGGTTTGTAGACAAAAGAACAAATGGTGGCTTGTCAATTTATTTTCCTAATTAAGGGGTGGGGAGTGGAGAATGTGAGCTGTTTCGACTTGCCGAGCCTTTTTCCTGTAACGACAACCCTATTTTTGTTTGTTACATGTGAATGCAGCCTATAAGGCATTTGAGATGCTGCAGGTTAAAAAAAAAAGATGTTGGTTGGGGATGACACATGACTGAAATTGATAAAGTTGGGAACTGTTGGGACAGATGGAGATGGGGTGTGTGTGTTTGCCGTAGGATTGATTGGCTATAGGTCCAGGACAGAGAAAAGGGAGTGTTTCTCCACACAATGCATTTTAAAAGAAATAAACAATAATTGATTAATGTAGGTGATTTGCTATCACGCCATACGTGGCCACTTGCATAGATGGCTTTAAAATACAAGTGGAACAAATTTATGGAGGAGGGTTCCGTCAGTGGCTCATCCTTCTGAATTTAGGACTGCTCCTTTATTAGCCTTTGGATTAGTGAGCCTCCATATGCAGGGGCAGTCTGCTGCTGAGTACCGGAGACTAACCACTGCAGAGGCCTGTTTCCTTCATGTTCTACCTCTGTGTTTCCATTTGGGGCATCTGGTTAGCAGCCCCTTTACGAAATTAGGTACTGGATGAGAATGGGCCTTTTGTTCTGATCCAGCAAGCCAATCCTTAGTTTTGTAAGAGGGGCCCAGCATTCTTACTATGCGGGAGTAGCTAGTCTTTTTTCAATTTTTATTTTTTTGAGCATGGAGCAGACTTGAAGGGCTTTCACGAGGAATGCCTTAAATGTGTTGGGGGATCCATCTCAAGTATCCTGTTTACCACAGAACCTTTTCATTTTCAACTCTAAACGGTTATATGACAGCTGCCAAGGCAAAGCCCGGGCATGTATTGCTTTGTCTTCAAGTCTTGGATGTTTCTTTTTCTTTTTTTCCCTCTCCCTCTGTGCCTTAGGTTAAGAAACAAATACTGGATGAAGAAATCTACTGTTCTCCCGAGGCTACGATTTTGTTGGCTTCTTATGCTGTTCAAGCAAAGGTGGGGCTTTAAAATTGCTGGGTTGTAAAAGAAAGAAAAAAGCTCTACATAATTATAGGGCATTAATTAACGTGCAAAAGCATGGCTGCGGAGTGCGGGAAAAGGAACAGTCAAAAAGACATGGCCGTTTGCGCCGGATTTCCCCACCACCACCCCCAGTTTGGATATTTGCAGTCTTTTTATATGATTTTTCTTTTAAAAAGAGCGCACCCCGGTGAAGGGATCCTGATATGTTTCAATGGAGTCTAGTGAAAAGGGGTCAAGGGCGGGCCATGCCCAGTGTTCCCTCTAAGCTGAGTTAGTGTGAGCCAGCTCACAGTTTTTTAGCTTCCAGCTCACAAATCTTTGTCTTAGCTCAGGAAGGCGGGCTCCAGGGCAAACCAATTTATGCAGTAGCCAAATCGCTTGCTCACAACTTTAATGCCAGGAGCTCACAAAGTAGAATTTTTGCTCACAAGACTCCGCAGCTTAGAGGGAACATTGGCCATGCCATTGGCTTCTTTCTGCCCTGTAAAGGGGCTGTGGACTCCAGAGGCCAGACCTACGTTTGTAAATTTGAATCTGTTTCCTGGTGAGTGTGTTCGCCCGGTAGTCCTAAAACCATTTAGATGATGTGGTGAATATGTATTTTCCTGAGGAACCTGCCCCCTAAAAAAATCTGTGATGCATACTAATGTAAAATAAGCCAAAAGGATATTTCAAACAGTTCACCGTTTGGATCAGAGAAACACATCATCCTGGCATGTCCCTCTAATGTACAGGTTCGGCCACTATATGCTTTTGAGCATATCTTCTTAACCATGAGGACTAGGAACTATGCTGTTCTTTAAAATGAACTGAGATGCTCAGGGAGTCAAATTTTATAGCCAGTTGCTACACTCTGCAGGTTTTCTGCGCTCCTGTGGAACCACAACTTACATACAGCCTTGTTCATTATTCTCTCTTGCCTCCTGGAAGAGAGTTACCATAAAGTTTCCAGCAATTCCTAGAACTACCCAACCTTGCTTCCAGGTTTTTCAAGAAGTGACATCATGGTACAGACAACACGGCCATCCCTCAGTTGCCAGGCATGAGCTGGCATGCCTATGTTATAGCAATAGACCAATCTAGGTATAATAACAGGTTCTGTGGATTCCCAGCTTTAACTTTTTAGAAAAGTAGGTCTCTATCCCTTTCTCTTGCAAAGATATGCATTTTCCTTTATATATTCACAATGAAAGGGGCTAGAGATTTGCTTTAAGAAAAAAGGAAGATGAGAATCTGTTGCACCTATCATTATAATATAGCACTATAACAATATTCTAGTGCCAATTTGTTTAAAATAAAAAATCCCCCAGTGGTGGGGGGAGGAAATGGCTGCCATGGGGATAGGGTTAGGGAAAGTGGGTGTTACGTACACGGGAAGTTCAGATTTTCCCACCCACACAGCAGCCACCCAGGCTTTACTGCAGTCTTTCCCAAAACTTTAAAGCAGGTTTGAGAAAGATCAGAGAAAAGCTGGGGAAATCCCAGGTGGCGCAGGAATGTACTGAATGATGTGGGGAAGCAGAGGGGAAAACCCCTTCTCAACAGCCTTGAACTTGGGGCAGATAACCTGTGCGGAAATATCTATCATTCACTTTACCTAGATGGGTAGACATATTAGTCTGTCTGTAGCAGTAGAAAAGAGCAAGAATCCAGGAGCACCTTCAAGACTAACAAAATTGGTGGCAGGGGAGGAGCTTTCCTGAGTCACTGCTCATTTCTTCACCCTCACAAAAGCTCCTACCCTGCCACAAATCCTGTTAGTCTTTAAGGTGCTACAGGACTCTTGCTCTTTTCTACATTCATTTCATCTGTTGCTGTGAATTGCCAGTCACCCAGTTCTTCTGGATGCTGAGGGACCTATTTTCTCTATCTGCAAGGGTGTGTGCATACGCTACCAATGCAAGATCCATTTTGCAAAAGGGCCTGTAGTCCTAAAACCTTCTCTTTCTCTTCCAGTATGGTGATTATGACCCCGACCTCCACAAACCAGGCTTCCTAGCCCAGGAAGAACTCTTGCCAAAGAGAGTAAGTGTGTTTAAATTCTCCCTTCCGTACATCAAAGGCTTTTCAACAGTACCCCTGGGAAGTGCCTCGGCAGGTCTTCCGGGAGAAGAGCAGCGATGGCGAACTATCCTCCCACGACACGCTTGCCTGCCATTGCTGAGGGTGATCTAGGGGAGGGGTTGGCAACTTTTCTGGACCAAGCACAGAACAAAAGCACCTCCTTGTGAAGACCAAGAGGGGGTGCGAGTAGAGAGAGAAGGGCTGTACTTGGCCACACACATTCGGAGCAAGCCCAAACACTTGAGGTGCCTCCAGGGCCAATTGCAAACTAAAGAGCAAGCGGATCATGGGGGAGGTTTGTCATCTAACCCTTTGCAGGCTGTGCTCGTTTACCTTGCACAGGGATTGTTAGTTTAGACAGCAGTCCCCGGTGTGGCACCGGCAGATGTGTTTCCTGATATCCTCTTGCTTCCTGAGTCTTGGGGTAAATTCAAAGGGTCTTGAATGGAACAGAAGATGCTCCCACGGAGCTTCAGGGCCAAACTAAACATGACAGCATCATCGTGGCCACCATGAGGATACTATTACATTTAGTTTGTCCCTTAGTTCAATCCCTACCAGCTGACTGACTATAAAATGGGTTTAAAGTAAGGGCGAGAAGGTACAAGTTAGAACAGATAAAAGGAAGTCCTTCTTCACCCAAAGAGTGATTAACACATGGAATTCACTGCCACAGGAAGTGGTGGCGGCTACAAGCATGGACGGCTTCAAGAGGGAATTAGATAAGCATCTGGAGCAGAGGTCCATCAGTGGCTATGAGCCACAAGGTATAGATAGGGGCTCTGGGGCAAGGGATGCTCTGTCTTCTTGGTGCTGGGGGGGGGGGTCAACAGTGAGAGGGCTTCTAGTGTCCTGACCCGACTGGTGGACCTCCTGATGGCACCTGGTATTTCTGGCGACTGTGTGACACAGGGTGTTGGACTGGATGGGCCTTTGGCCTGATCCAACACATGTTCAGTGTTGGATCAGGCCAAAGGCCCATCCAGTCCAACACCCTGTGTCACGCAGTCGCCAGAAAACATAAGAGATGCCAATGTTGGATCAGGCCAAAGGCCCATCCAGTTCAACACTCTGTATCACACACTGGCGTCTCTTATGTTCTTATGTTACCAGCTGGATATTAGGAAAACTTTTTTTACACTAAGAGTTGTTCGACAGTGGGATCAGCTGCCCAGGGAGGTGGTGAGCTCCCCCTCCCTGGCAGTCTTTAAGCAGTGGCTGGACAAACACTGCTCAGGGGTGCTCTAGGCTGATCCTGCACTGAGCAGGGGGCTGGACTAGATGGCCTGTCTGGCCGCTTCCAACTCTATGATTCTATGATGCTATGAAAAGGGCTGAGCTCTTCCCAGGCAGGTGCATTACAGCTGTGCACCCTCTGTCAGACCATAAAACACAGACGTCCTGATGTCTCTGGACTTGGAATCCTCTTGCTGTGGCCACGCAGGGAGCAGGCCCTCTTTCTTTCTTCAAAGACTGAAAGCAAAAATAGCACCTCTTCTCCAATGCCAAGAGCCAGTCCTGGCTTTCCCCGAGAGGCATCACCTTAGCATCTGAAGGAAGGAGCATCGTGCAGCAACTGATGCCTCCAGTCACGTGAGGATGTTTGCCTTGGAACCTCAATTCTGCAATTGACCGACTCCCTGTGGCAGCCCTTTTGTGGGGCTGTACGACACCTTTCTCAAAATTCCAAAAGTGCCCACGGGCTCCGGGTCAGAAACCACTGATATAGGGGGGCAGTGACCAATGTAATCCGCTGGTACTCACTCTGCCGATCCTGGAGAGCCACACGTGTAATCCACATCATCCAAGAGCCACGTGTCTGTTGTATTCCCTGTGGCGGTGGTGGAAAGCACTGCCAAGTCACGACTTATGGCGACCCCGTAGGGTCTTCAAGGCAGGAGGAGAGACAGAGGTGGGTGTGCCATTGCCTGCCTCTGCGTAGCAACCCTGGACTTCCTGGCAGGTCTCCCATCCAAGCATCAACCAGGACATACGATGTTTAGTTTCCAAGGTCCAAGGAGATTGGGCTAGCCTGGGCCATCTCGATCAGGGCATCCTCCCTGCCCGCCATCCCAAATGACAATAAATAATATAATATAATATAAT